CAGTCAATAGTCTCCTGGTTCCAAGACAGAAAAGCATTATGGCAGGGATAGGTGCTCATCTCATGGCATCTAGAAAGCAGAAAGAGAAATGAGGAGACAGGGAAGGAGATGTACCCTCCAAAATTATGGCCCCAGAGACACAACTGTTCTAGCCAGGTCTACCTCCTAATAGCACATTTATCTATGAATTTAATAATAGATCTGTCATCATTCTGGTGCTCCCATGATCCAATTGCCTTAAAAAAGCCCTGTCTCTGAATACATGAGACTTTTGTGGGACATTTCAGATCTAAACAATAACACAATCAACCAATATAATAATTCATATAGTTTAATCAACTACTTTCTACTTCTTAGCATATTTGTAGATGGAGATACAAGATAAAAGGAAATAAGTGAAATCTATTATGTTCAATGTAAATTAATTATAAATAGTATGTACATAGACCTTACCCTATGCCAGGCAGTATTTTTCAGCTATACATTTATTTAGTCCTGATAACATAGCTCCCTGTGAAAGTTACTATTATAATCTTGGTTTCATGGACAAGGAAACTGAATCTTAGAGAGATTAAGGAATTTACAGAGGCTCATACACCCTGCAGATATTGGAATTGAGTCATAAATTCAGGCAACCTGGCTCCAGTATACTTGCCCTTACTTACTTCACTGTCTTTTTTACACATTTGTATAGTTTTTTAAAATTTTTATTTAAAATCTTTGACAATTACAGTATTAACAACCATACATATTTTGACCTTAGGTTACTAAATCAGGCTGTGTTTGCAGCATTTGGCAGAATTGTCAAATGGAGTAAAATGTATTTGTCTTGTCACCTTAGTGATTTGTGTGTGGATAGAATGTGATCATTGATGTTAAGTCCAGAATGAGCAGCCAATGCACAGATATTGTTGTAGCTGTTTGTAAAAGCTCTACTACAACCTAAACAGCTAGCACTCCACAACAGCACCCATTAAGAGTAAGCTTTTTCTTAAGCATTGCAACCAAAGTAGAAATACTACTCAATTAAAGAAAGAAAAAAATAATTTGTTTCTAAGTTCTGAAATAATCATGCATGGAAGTTTGTGAGATTATACATTCAGTTATTTGTAGATATAAATATATTGGTGATTAACATAAAAGAGAAGATTAGTGGCCTTAGGAGCCCCTCTAAGCTCCTAAAGATGGGTTGGGTGCTGTTCCCTTGTCCTTACTTAGCACTTCACAATTGCCTTGATTAAAGCACTCAGCATGTTTTATCATGAATGCTCACGTGCCCCATGTGTCCCCTTGTCAGATCTTAGAGGCTAAGCTGAGGACAAGGGAGCACATGCATTGATTGCAACTCAGTGAAGTCTGTCAGGCAGAGAATGATATATGAAAATGACAGATGGAGTCAGATTTCCTGAACACCTGAGTATGTGGTGGAGTTGAGTCATGGCATATGATAAATGCTGTGGTGTTTCTAAACTCTGCATGTGCGTCATTGTCTGAAGCAGATGAAACAGCCAAAGTAGAGTCACTGTTGCAAAGGGCAGTAACCTTGGCTCTGGGAGAGGTAGTACTGGCATAGGCTTTTAGTACACCCTCTCCTTCACCTGGGAAATAGCTCCTGTGCAGCTCAGGGCATGGAAAAAGGGATGCTGGCTACTTATCCCATTCTAACAATACTGCTTTTCCTTTGATGGAGTGGGAGAAGTCTGGGGTCTTGCTATTATTTTGGGAAATATAAAGTGTAATTGAAAAATGCAGTGAATATTTAAATTTAAAAATATACTAGAGTAAAAGACACATTGCCATTAACTCCCTCAAAGTATACCTCCTCTCTTCACACACGATTGTAGCATTGTTCCTGCAGCTTTTTTTTTTTTTTTTTTTTTTTTTTTTTGAGACAGAATCTCTTTATGCAGTTCAGGCTGGCCTCAAACTCTCAGAGATCCTCCTGCCTCAGCCTCCTGAGTGCTGGGATTACAGGCGTGTGCTACCACACCCAGTTGCAGCTTTTTGAAACAGTTCTGGAAGTCCTGTTTGATAAGTGTCTTTAGTTGTGTTGTCGTGGCTGCCTCAGTGTCCTGAACTGACTCAGAGCCTTTACATTTTATTGTCATTTTAACTGTGCCAAAGAGTCAGAAGTTGCATAGTGCCAGGTCTGGTGAATGAGATGGATGAGGACAGAGTAATATTTTATTTGGCAGAAATTGTAATAAATGTTTGATCAATGAGGTTTGACCACAAACTACAATAACTGTTTAACTATACACATGGACTAATAAACTAAAATAAAAAAATTATAGTAAGACATATTGCCATTTCAGTCCACTTCAAAACACTAAAATAGTCCCACTTGCTTCAAAGATACTTATCCCATAGTTTTTGGGCAATATTTCTTTTACTGTACTAAATCTTTTTAAAATTTAAATAGCCACCATATTTTTCAAATGTCTTTTACATACATTCCTTTTCACTCATGAGCTTTGAGACTACCTGGAGCTTTATCTTAATGGGTACAGCCTAGGAAAAACATTGCTGCCTATGCAATGTCCATTCATCTTTCTTCCTTTTAAATAGAAAGCTGATTAATTTGTGAAAACCATAGCTAAAGCACTATGTCTCTTAGCTCTCCCTTCCCATATATGTCAACTAAGGTGGCCAATGAGACAGAAGAAGTCCTTGGTGAGGACTGGTGGAAGTAAAGATGAAAACAACCATACTACATGAATGTTTTCCTTTTTTACTGCTTACTTTTCTTATTCTTACTGGGAATACAAAGATGGTAAGTGGAATACCAGTAGCCACCCTGTGATTATGGGGAAAACTGGAAGGTAGAAGTTAAGCGCTAAGTGTAACTGAACAGAAATACAGAAGGAACCTCAGCTGTACCTACTCTACTGCCTACCACACTTTATTTACATGAAAGAATCCCCTATTATGTTAAAAAGCTATGGTATGGTTGTGCCTAGATGCTTCCCCAAAGACTCATACACTCATAGGTGGGACTTTTTGAGGTGGCTGCATCTGGGATGTGTGATAGTGGGATAAAGGGTGTGTAGTACTGGGTAAGTCCACTAATTGGTTTATCATAATTCTGGGTGTAGATAATGGGAAGGGGCATCATGGGTATGGGTGGCACCACCCAAAAGGATTGTAGCCTGGAAGAGATAAAAGGGAAAGGGTGGCTGCTGCTTTACTGCCTCCTGTCTGCTATACCATGAACTGTTTCTTTTCTCTGCCATGGTGCTCTGCCTTGGAGCCAGTCAACTATAGACTAAAACTTTGTCAAACTGTGAGCTAAAATAAGCTTTTCCTCCTTTAGCTTTGGGTGTTGCATATTTTGTCTCAACAATGAGTAAAACAAGCAGCAAATGAGTTCCTCACCAGAGCCAAGATGATGTTGGCAACTTGCTCCTGAACTTCTAGAATTGAGCTAAATAAAGCTCTTTTGTCTATAAGTTACTCGCCCACAAGTATTTTGTTACAGTAACAAACAGTGGCTTATATACACAAATTTATTTTCTGGAGAAATATGTCCAAGCCACTTATGGGTCATTTCCATAATTCTGTATCATTAGTCAAAATGCTTTTTTCAAATTAGAATATTTGCATTTTGATTAATTTGTGAATACTTGTGATTCCCCATAGATGGTGATTAGACACTTTACTTATTTCTCAATGACCAGGACAGCTCTGCCAAGAGATCCTTCCCAGAACAGAAAGTCTACATACAAACCTAGAAAATCCAATTTTCACTCTTATACTCTGGAAGCAAATGTTGACTATGTAAAAATAGCTGTTTCTTTTCTTTCTATCCCGCTGGGTGTCAGAAATAATAAAGTGTGGTCTCCACACAAATTTCTCTGCTGGTAAGATCTTAAGATTATTTTTATTGGGAAAACAATGAAAACTTGAAATAACTGTGCATTCATCAAATAATACTAATTTAAAATGATAAAACATCAGTTCCATTTGTGTGTGTGATGAATATCATTATAAAATATTAAATGAGAAAGAAAAAAAATCTGGTGATATGTGTGGGTATAACTTTCCTGTACCACAAAACTTTCTAAGACAAATTTCTCTCCTGTTAGATTTTTCTTTATTGACTCTTTTTGAATCTCTCCCATGAAGTAAAATCTCTTCAAAAAAGAGAAATATATTCACACTGACACCAGACAAAGGCTAAAATAGAAGAGGCTGCCACAGTAGAAGATGAGAATTGGTTTCAACATTAACAATACAAAGGGATCATATTGTTTTATATGCTAAGAAAATGCAAAACAATTGTCACTGATCTTGATTACCACAAAATCTGCATCACATAGGACAATAAAGGTAAGATTTTAAAATAATAAGTAGGGGTAGAGAAGAAAAACTGTTCTAATTTGTATTGAATGCAGAATAGTAGTATAATAAAAAATGATGGCACTGATGAAAATAACCAGTTTTCTGGCTTTTCAACTTTCAAACCCGAGGTACTGTTAAAATTCAAAAATAATTATGTCCATTAAAATATCTCTAAATACCTGAACATTGGCTCAAAACTGCTATTTAGAAGGGAGGGAATTCATGTTTAGCTGGTTTCTCTTGCGTGTGCCAGGGTTTTTTCATTTGTTATTCCACTTAATTTTCACAACATTCTGCAAAGGAGATGTATTTTACATTCTTATACCTGGCAGGAAACTGAAGATCAATTAGGGAGACTTAGCAAGTTTGGCTAGCTGGTAAGCAGGGAAAATAGGTAATTAAACTAGGTTTTTTAGACTTTGAAGCTCTTTCCACCACTCTGCGGTGTTATGGTGTTTCTTGTTAGGGAACATTACTGTGTAAAATCAAATAAATTTACAAGATGATTTGAATTTCATTGGGTTAATACAAATGCATAATCTAAGAAATTATAGACAAAACCAGAGCATGCTGGAGACCTTCCTAGACTAAGTTAACTAAACAGTTGATTCTGGAATGTTGGGCAGCACAAACCTCTAGAACACTGGCATCAGAATGGCCTCCCTCCAGGAGCAAGCAAAGAAGGCGAGTAACCTCTCCCAAGTCACAGAGGTGGGGAAGACTACATGTAAAGGTCTACATCTGCCAAAGAAGAGGGTGCTACTAGGTTATAACATTCTGAACTGAGTTCCCATATGTGTTAGTCAGGGATCTCCAGAAAAAACAGAATCAATAGGACATGGGGACACACACACACACACACACACCACACAGATTTATTATAAGCAGTTTGTTTATGAGACTGTGAAGGCTGATAAGCTCCAAGACCTACAGAGAGATATGGAAGCTAGAGACCCTAGAGAACCTCTGGTAAGATGCCCATTCAAATTGAAGGTCTGAGACACAGGGAATCCCCTGTATATTTTCTAGTCCAAGGGCTGGCATCCTGGGGACCCAGAAAGAGCTGAGGTTTCAGTGAAGGTCCTAAGGTGGGAAGAAACCAGCTCAAAGCCAGGCAGGAGAAACTGTTTGGAGGAGAGTTGACCTTTTTATGGAACAGTCAGATCTTCAGCTGACTGAAGCAAGCCCACCTACTTTATGGAGTGCTACCTGCTTTACTCATTCAGTTGTTTTAAAGATAATCCCTTTCAAAAATACCCATTAATACCCAGAACAATATTTGACTAAATAGCTAGGTACCTCACGGCCCAAATGATGCTCAAAACTGACCGTCACGCAGTATTTCTAAATTTATGTTGAGGTGGAATGAAATCAGATGGAGCACAAAGAAGGTTAGGGGCCATGCTTCTCTTACTAGCTACACACATGGGTTTCTAACCTATTTATTTTCAGCCAAGGCTGGAACACTCTGAAGATGAAATGAGATTATATAATATATAAGAATATTTACAAAACTATAAAGCACCTCATAATTATAAACAGGATGGTAGCTGTTTGGGAGTCTGAACTTTTCAGAGACTAGATAAGCAGCAATTTGAAATCTAGGGTGTGACAGTGGCCTCATGGTTGCTACTGAGGAAGTCCTTGTCTTCCAAGAGGACATTACCTGCCCTGTAGGGTGTGCTCTGAGGACATCCCTGAGTACTGATGAAGGGTGGAAAGCACAGTCACTGCTTGGCATCTACTAAGGAGTTTCCTTCTTGATTGCAGAGAAAAGCCCACAGAGAGACTGAGGCAAAATGACTGCCCGAGCCAGGCAGACTGATTGTTTAAAATTCCCTTGAAGTAAATAGCTTATCTTTGAGCTCATTCTAAGAGGGGGAGAAAACAAAAATTCTATTCACATGAGGCAGCAGCATTGCAGTGTTGAAAGGGGAAGTCCAGACAATTGGGTACTGCTGGTCATGAGATATTTCTTGAAGTTCTTCCATGCATCAGATGAGCCAAAGTTCAAGGTGAAATTAATTGGTTTGGGTTCTTGTCAGGTTGGACATATTTTGATATATACTGATAGTTTTCAGCAGACATATTCTCCCTTTGACAGGAAAAATTTATTAATGCTGCTTATATCTAGGAACCATCATTCGGGCTTTAAAATATATGGTTTCAGAGAGTCAAGTTCAGAGGGAGATATTTATTAAATGTAAATAATGCATTACATCAACCCTAAAAACTAAGGAATTCTCTCAGACACTTATTTTAACATTCAATTTATTGTTTATTTTCAGGGCCTAAAATGACTAGCTGCTTATAATTTCAGTAGATTTGGGTTTTGAGTTGAGTCTAAGTCGGGGACTTAAGTTTTGCCAGATATGGGCTAAGTTTTGATGGAAGTCGGGGTCAGAGGGAGGAGGTGTTTTGACCCTTGATATCATCTGACCAATTAGATGTCAGCTAAAATTACCATCTCCTTGCTGATGAACCAGTTCACCATCGACATTTTGCTCTTTCCACTTGAGTGATATCCTACCTAGTCTGGAAATCTATTTTGTTCTTCCATAAAGAACTTTCTTATTTTTCATAGCACAGTTTTCTATTCCCTCTGTTACATTTATCCATTTAGATGGCACCAAGATTGTGTTAATTACAAATTATGCTTCGGTGAATGACCTTTTGTGTCATCTAAGGAATATTTTCAGTGCAGATTCTTACAGGAAGAATCAGGTCTCCTTGGAGAAGTGCCTGACTCTGCCTCAAACAGGGCAGAAGTGTGGCCTTCGGAATATGTTGTGAGAGAAAGTGAGAGTGCTGCAAAAGTGATGGGAACAGGACAGAAAGAGGCAGGAGCAGAACTGAATGAGTTCCCTTTGGGAAAATATGGAATAAGTGGAGCATCAAAATAAATGAGGGTGGAAGGGCAAATGTGAATGTACTTTTTTAGATAGGGACAAGTTCCTGTCCACAGAAATGGTTTGCTTTCTACTTTCACTCAGCCACCCATGAGAGTATCTGGTTTTCCGTCTATGGCGAGCAGAGTGTTTTGTCAAGATTTAGAATTTTTGCCCATGTGATGGTAAGAAATAATATCTCAGTTAGTTTGCATTTCTGTTCTCTACAAATGTGTTTGAACACCACTGCATATGTCGGAAAGTCATTATTACAGTTTTTGTTCATTGTTGTCTGCCTCCCGTTTATCACCAGATTAAGTGGTCTTCATTCTCATAATTTTTTTTTTTTTTTTCCCAGTATCGGGAATCAAACTCACGACGTTGAGCTTGCCAGGCAGACGCTGTGCCGCTGAGCTAAATCCCCAGCCCCCTTTTCTCATAATTTTTAAATGCCCTTCTTTGTACATTAGGAATATTGGGTATTTATTTGCACTATATAGTGCAAATATTTTCCTCCAATATATCATTTGCCTTTTAACCTTGTTTATGCCTTTTGGCGGGGAGTAATATTTCCCAAAACAAATAGGTAAAAATTTTACATAGTAGATTTGGGGTATCCAGTTAGAAAAATCCCTAAGGTTACATAGAATTCAATCCATATTTTGTGTCCTAAAATTTATATAGTTGCATGCATTACATTTAGATTACTTAGCTATTTGGGGCTTAAAGTGGGATTTTTTCCCTCTATTCTATTTCATGTCTGGAATACATCCCTCTTTCATTTTGATTTCTAAGACCTTCTAATGTTGGTGGTGTCCTGCATTTCCCATTTATTCTTATATATTTTCAGTCTCTTTTCGTGTTAAGGTGAGACAAAATCTTTAAGATAGAGCTTGAAGCATTGACATTCACTACATAGGATCTAGAACAGTGCAATGAGTACTCTACAGCAGAAGTATGATGGTGTCACCTAAGTTTTCTTGAATTTTCTAGTAGCCTCTTAGAAAAAAGAAGGAACAGGTGCAATTAATCTTAATATATTTTATTTAATTCTGTATATCCAAAAGCTAATCACTTCAATATGCAATTAATATAAAATTTTTATAAAATTTCATGAAGATTCTCTCATCATATTAAGTTCTCAGAATTGGTATTTTACATGCATAGGACACCTCTATCACAACTAGCCACACTGACTTCTTCTGTGGCCATCGGCTGCCATACTAAATAGCATGGATTTAGGTAATCTTGTTTGTAATCTTCATGGAAAACATGCATGGGTCACAGAAGTCTCTCTAGCATCAAGGATGCAAGAGACCTGATTCAAAATGAGGACTTTAGATGATGATTGGCTAGCTGTGTGAATTTATAAAATTTCCTTGGAAAGTCACCTGAGAGCACAGTTCTGCAAACAGGGGGCAAAAGTCGTACACATCCATAGCTTCTCTGCAACCTTTATAAATGTTCTTAGGACTGTCTTGCTATGCCACGAGTAGCTGTACACCTGGAAGAGATTTGACAGAGCCTTAATCATATTCATGGTTGCTTCTTTCATGTTGAGGTGCTGGCAACATCATTACTAAAATATTAAGATTTCACAAACACTTTTGGATTTTATTACCTTGATGCCTTCAATATGGTCATAATACTGAGAAGGTCATAATACTGAGAAAAGGTGGAGTCATGTTTCAGTCAATCTTCATGTCTTTAGAGAGGTGGCTGAATGCCATTTTACGTATGGGAGAATTCTAGAATATCTACCCTTTCAAAACAATAACCAGCAACTTTCTAAGTGCAAGAAGGAGGCTCTGGAATGAAGATTATTTGCTGGCAGTGAACAGTGCTGGTTCCATGACCACTGTGTGGTCTCTAACACACTTAGAAATGGCACCACAAGTTATATAACTGTTGCAACATAGAATGTCACATATAAAAAGGGCCAAAAATATTATTATAAAGATTTGCTGACAAAAACCCATTGGGGTGGCACACATCCTACCACTCTGGGAAGCTGAGGCAGGAGGATCAAAAGTTCAAGCCCTACCAACCTAGGCCACTTAGTGACTTAGTGATACCCTATAACACTGAGAAAAGGGCTTATGTCATTTACAGTTTTATAGAGTATTCTTCATCTTGCGCACAAACCTTTGAGACTTCAAGGTTAAAGACCCCCAAAAGGCTACACATAAGCCCATTTACTTAGCATTTGTTTCCAATTTCAGGGTTGACTGAAGCTAAGTGTTCATGAACACCTGACTGGTGTCAGAGAGGGAGTGCTGATCCAACACTGTGTCTTTCTTAGAGCAAAATGTAGATTGGGCTGAGAATTGGAAACAGACGGAGAAGTTGTGTGCTCACAAAGGGATCGCTATCTTTACTTGCGGCATTTAAGGCAGAAATGTCAGAATCTTCAGGCTGTAAGTCATACTAACTCAGAGCCCCCAGTGGCCAGGCCTGTTTGGGGAAGGCTGTAAGAAGTCATAAATACTTATCCTCAGAGAAGAAACTGGAGAAGATGATAACATAGTCTCTAATGAATGTGAACTGGTTATAATATAAATTTACACATTTGAAGGAGAGTGCAATATCATTTTTAAATTCTAGGGGAGAATCTCTTCCACTGAATATGTGGAGAGGGTTACAGTGCTCTTTCTTCTGATTTTCTGTAAGTTCCTCGTGAGTGATTCCAAATTCATTTTGCCAAAGGGGCTGCAGTTTAAACTGACTGTCCTTGTTCCTCCCTGATTTTTGCAGTTAGGAGTGAGCAGCTGCAGGCACGTGGGTTCTGAGGCTGTGTCTCCAAATTGCTGCTCTGTCTTCAGGCTAAGATATTCTGGGAATAAAAGTGTTGACTTGGGCTGAGCCTCATGAACCAGTGTCCCTGCTGATGGCAGTGTGTCCTCTGGGTCATCTCAAGCCAGGGCTTGTGCTGCAGAGAACGCATTTTGTTTCATATTTTGACAGCTATGAATCCTCGAGAGTTGGTTTCCTGGGTCATTCATGCTGAATAAAGAGATGAAAAGGAATTTCTATTTCCTCCTGGAATGTGAAGTAAATACTAAAACAGTGTTTATATTTGGGACCTAGCCATAGAGTCCATGGACAACCCAAGCCATAGAAGAAGCAATCAGCCTTGTGTTTCTAACAGTGTCCCCCTGCCCAGTTGGGACATGCAGCACACATACCTTTGGGCAGAGCATTGATTCTTAAAAACATGGTGGCAAGATGTTTGATCATCTGAGGAGCAAGCAAGAAGAAACCAAGCAGACACATTCAATTCAGACCGGACCACTGATGTATTGAGACCTGAGCAGATCTATGCATCTCCAAGACACAGATGTATTGTTGGGTGGCTGAGGTGTTTTCCACCATGACTGACACAAAGTCACCATTTGCTGAATGCGAATTGTTGCATTAATTTCTCTCCTTTATTTTCTGTTGGACCACTAGAACTGGAAAGATGTACTATAGAAGTAGTATTTTGTAGCCTCCTGGGGATAGACCACCCCAGTGAGAATGGAATTCCCAATGGTCTGCCCCTCAACCTATATTGATTCACCAAGGGTGGCTGGGTTTACCAGGGTGCAACAACCAGCAGCAGCAGGAGAAACAAGCCTCAGTGATGTGTGGGGCAAGGAATGTCAGCAGAGCTATCTGGGGGTGCCACTGAAGATCAGATTGGGAAGTAGAATAGAGTAACAGGCCCAGGCATGGGCAGGAAGATAGAGATGGCCTAAGAAATTTAAGCGGGACATAAACCAGAAGCTATGTTGCCTTTCCTTTGAACTTCTATCTCAGGTCCAGGGTCTTCCTGAGACCTTTGTGGCTGAACTGGGACACTAGGTAAAATTCTGCAGCAACATAGTACCAGTGTTGAAAGTCTGGTGTGACATTTATTATTACTCGTAAAGAAGGTGCCCCTGTTGGCCTCTGCAGGATGCATTGGGAGAATACAGTATCCCTGATGATGGTGTGTGATGGGTTAGGGAGCTGTGTTTGCAAAGAACTCTAGATTAGTCTGGTGATGTTGAAAGAAACACACATATGACCATAAATCCTGATTGCCAACTTGACTGGATCAAGAAATGCCTAGCAGATTAGTAAAGTACAGTTCTGGGTATGTCTGTGGAGTGTTTTCAAAGATGATTGATATGTAAACCAGCACACTGAGGGAGGGCGTGGCCTGCTTGTGGGTGGTACCAGCAGTAGGCCTGCAGCTGGATGGAACAAGAAAGAGGAAGAGGAGGAAGTCAGTGTGCATTGGAAAAACTCCCTTCTGCTTGACCACGTGTCAGACTTGAGTTTCTTTAGCCTTGTAATGTGGACTCACACCAGCTGCTCTCCAGGGAAGTTCCAGGCCTTTAGTTTGAACAAGGGTCATTGTAGGTTCTGTCATTGTTACATGTTTGTAAAAGATTGAGGGTTGATATGGAGAAGCTGTTGATATATATATATATGTACATTATACATTATATACACACATATATATGTATATATATGTACATTATATATATGTACATTCTGTTCCTTTAGAAAACCTAACCAACCCAATACACCAGTTGCAGCCTTTTATCTTTTCTGCCTTAATCCTTCCCTTCTCAGAAAAAAAAATCACTCTTTTAGATAAACAATTACAACCAAGAGCAACAATCCTGTAAATAGTTTCTCAATCCAGAGACTTCAAATATTTTGGTATTGTATTAGTAGCTTTTCACAAGGACTTAGTTTATATATGCACTACAGGAAGTACATAGATCATTTAAATGAGGTATGTCACTTAACACACATGCAACTCTACTATTATGAAACATTATCCCTGCAGCTTCTGTAGGTTAGAAAATGAGGCCTACCTGTGGCACAGTCCCTCATAGGCAGAGCTGAGATTCGAAGCTCTGGCTGCCTCCCTGGCTCTTGTTGTTTACAACTGCCCCACTTCCTTCCATCACCTGCTTCCCGGGGTCTCCCACACCAAGCAGCCAACCAACCACCCAGAGCTAAGCCTTGCTCAGACCAAGTAGCTTCAACCCCACCTAGCAGTGGGCAGCAGATTTCAGCCACCGCTTTGCTTCTCTAGCACTGTTCACCTCTGCCCCAGGATGCAGTATGAATTTCTTACTCTCTTTAGGACTGTTTCCCTACCTTAAAATAACAGGAAAAAAAAAATCCTACCACACAGGGACATTGCGAAAGTAAAAGACTGTATGTAAAAACACTAGCAGAGAATCTCATGCATTGTAAATCATCAAGACTCAATAGCTTCTGTCACTGTTATTTATTTATTTATTTTTGTGTGGGGGTTGTCTGGTACCGGGAACCGAACTCACGACCTTGCGCTTGCCAAGCAAGTGCTGTACTGCTGAGCTAAATCCCCAGCCCCTGTCATTGTTAATAGTATAGAATTCTGGCTTTATTTCTTATAATTAACAGCTTCTCCATATCAACCCTCAATCTTTTACAAACATGTAACAATGACAGAACCTACAATGACCCTTGTTCAAACAGAAAAATAGGAAATTATTAATCTGAATTTTAACTTTTAGCATGAACTACAATGTTTAAATCACTTAGAATTTGACACTGAAAAATATAAAAAAGACTTTGTAAACTTTCTGGCTTATGTCAGAATCTTTCCATACAAACAATAAAATTTCATTTTCTTCTATTGTGTGGGTTCATGTGAGTGGGAGATGAATGTTTTCAAAATTCCATCATTTTAATTGGCTTACGAAAATGGTATTTTTAAAAGTCTTCTAGATTCTAGAGCAGTACACAGATGAGGTTAAAAAAATTAAGACAAGGGGAAGGAAAGATATTTTGGTGACTTAAAGTCAAGTTTTTAAAAAAATTTGTGAATTTTTTGAATAAATCTACTTTTTAGACAAAGAAAATAAATTTGAAGAAAAGCCATGAAGATAGATATTTTGCAGATACATAGAGATCGACAGAGACACACTGTAAGTTGAAGACTATAGCAACATCCTGAATCTATGAGATGTTATTCCAGCTGATGTACTAAAGCTTCATTTAACTCTGTAATATTTATTTCATTATTTGCCTGATGTGAAGTACGTAATTCTGCCTGATTATCGGTACTGTAGGAAATGTGCTTATTGTCTTCGGTGTATTACACTTCTTCCTGCTTTCATAGCCTGAGTCATGCATTCCTCTTTCTGTTATGCCTTTCCATCTGCTGTCCACACCTCTTCCTTCTTTGCCAAATCAGTTCAAATCCTCAATTTATAATAATGTCACTACTTAAAATAATATCAAATTGATAATAATGTTAAATGTACAGCATTTAACATGGGAACCATACAGGTAGTTCAACTTTCTGAGGAGTTCATGATCATTGTTTGTTATAAAAATCCTGCATTATCAACCCATTGTTAGGCTGATCTTGCATTACGCAGCCCTTTGGTGCTTATATGGTGAACTTGGAATGTGTCATATTTAATATGTATGAAGTCAACATTTATTCTACCTAACTAGCCTGCCATACTCAAGGGCAGAGTCTATGTCTTGTGCTCTCACAATGCCTCACCCTCTGGCTCCTCCACCTGTACTATGCCAAGCTGATACATGTTGAACAGTGGGTAGTTATCACCCCACCCAGGTTAAAGTTTGACAGGACTTCAATCAACTTTGTATTTGTCCAGATTCCTTTTGTTATTTATAATCTAATTATCTTCATGAATGGTCTAATCTCTGAGAAACACCATTGAGATTGTGAGCACACCTTTGCCAAATGGCCACCGTACATTATTACATGGATTATGATGGACTGACCCAGGATTGATTCTATCTCTTATACTGTGACCCTGGGGAAATAGCTTAATCTCTCCATGTCTCATTTCTTCAGGTGTAAAATGGGGATCTTAATTGTTATGCATCTCACAGCACTCGCTGAAACCTTCAGTGAGGATTGCTGTGAGGGATAAATGAGGCATTCACAAAACTGTAAATGCTTGTTGCAGATATATGAACTCAGAAGAGGAAGTAATAGAGGTTAAAACAAAGGAGATTAGTATACATGGAGTCACAGTTGGGATGTGGGTCTAGTCATCTAGCTCTGCAATTTTATACACTCTACACTGATTCATACATATAGAGTGTTAGAATGGTTGAATCCTATTTGTTGAGGCAAAAAAAAAAATCAGCACCCCCCCAAAACAAACCAATATCTAATAACCTTCCGCTCTCCAAGAGAGAAGGAGAACCAAACACTTTCATTTGCTCATTTTTAGAGAAGTAAGAAAAACCCTTTAACTGGAAGGCTTGATGATGAAAACTCTGGAAGGCAGGTGCTGCTCTTTGCCACAGAAGGAAGACTGGCTCTGGTATTATTTGATCCAGGTAGGTGCTAAAGAGCCGATTCGGATTTTGTTAGAGACACCCTGTTCTCACCACTTTAAAACGTGTGGTCTTTGCTCAGCTTGCAAACTTCATGCTAGATTTCCAGTCAAGTTTGGCAGCAGTATCTTCTCTTGGTATTATAGAAGGTGTGCTCTCCAGTGGTAACCTGTGGTCTGGGAGCTGGATGGCATGCAGGTTTCCAACCATTGCCTTTAGCCTATCAAGCAGTTTTTATGTTTGTAAATTGCTTAACAATTTTAGGGAAAATAAAAGCTCAGGAGTCAAAAACAGCATCAATAAATAAAAATACGACCTTCTGTCTTTTTGTGAAAGAGGGCCTCAGCCTTGCTAAGTAGGTATGCATTCTAAATGAGCTATAGCCACATAGCATCAGGTTTCATAGGTTGAGAACTCAGTCTCTTTAAATTGTCCTATGAACTCCACTTCTTCACACACAAACCAGAGTGTTGGTGTATGAAGAAGTGAGGTTCACAGGATAAGTTGTCACCTGAATGCTGACCGAAAGGCAATACATCAGGGTTCCCATGGTCCCTTGCCCTTGGATGCGATCATTTGCTAGAATGGTCCACAGAACTTGGAGGAGTGGTTTACTTCCTACATTTCTAGTTTATCATAAAAGGATACAGCTCAGGCATAGCCAGTGGAATAGATACATGGGGAAGGTGGGAGGAAGGGTACAGAACTGACAACAGCTTTCCGGGTCTATCATCCTCCCAACATCTATGTATTTTTGATCTTAGGAGTTTAGGATTGATTAAATTATTGGCCAATGCTGATTTACTCAATCCAGCTCCTCCCCACTTCTTTTAGGGGATCCACAAGGTAAGGATGAAAGTTCTATCCCTCTAATTCCATGATTGGTTTCTTTAGCAACTAGCTTCCCCACCTCATTAATATAAGCTCAAGTATACTTAAAAGGAGGTTTTATGAATAACAAAGGATGATTCTTTCATCTTCATTGCTGTTTCCATTTAAAAAATTACAGACTTTTAGGAAAGCTCTAGCCAAGAGGAGGACACTCAAACCAGACTAAACCTCTGTATCCAAAGTTCAGTATCCACAGTCAACCAGGCTGAGAGCAGTGCTATGTAACTGGTAAAGCCTGTGATGGATGGTTGTGTCTGTACTGAATATATACAGACTGCTTCTCTTGTCATTATTCCCAAAAGAATACAGTTTAACAACTATTTCCATAACATTTACATTGTATTAGATATTGTAAGTATTCTAGAAATGATTTAAAGTATACAGAATGATGTATGTAAGTTACATAAATATATTATTTTATATAAGGAATTTACACATACATTGATTTTGGTGACTGTGGAAGTCCTGGAATCATGTCTGTGCTGATGCCACTGGTTGACTTATTTCCTATTATATCATGGTTGGGTTCTAGAGTTCTAGAATCTTCTAGAATGAGTTGCCCTTTGAGCAGGAACTAAGAACCTTAATGCACTATGGAGAAATAGAAAGATAGGAGAGACATGAAACTGTGGATGTGAACATGCTGGGCTAAAGATGTTTGCTAGCAGCTTTGTGAACTATTCAGACACTGAGTGACAAGGGTCTGGGTTAGATGGAGAAAACAAAGGTGGAAATATGAGTAGAGATATGAGTTTGGAGACAAATGAAAACATCGCTGATTAAACAGACCTGAGGTGCACAAGGAAGGAGGAGCTAGTTATCATTTGGGGTCTTACAGCTTAGGGGACTGAGTGAATAGATTTATTAATTGGAAAACTTATTGTATCCTAGGAAGAAGATGGAGAAGTGAATGATAGATAGAGTCTCTGTTGTAAAAGCTTTCCCTGCAGGGCCCAGATAATAAATGAACATAGGAGGCCATTATAAATGGTGATAGAATGTGGGGAGACTCCAGGAGATGAAGGGAATAGAGCCATCACATGAGGGATGTTAAGAGTCACCCTAGAGAAAATGGTCAGCAATGAAGTTTTGAGGAACATCCTTCAGGCCAGGGGCTTAGCAAATGTGTGGATGCAAGGGAAGGGTGAGCCTCTGGGTGAAAGGGTTCCCTAGCAATTCAGGTGATTGGATTATAATAAGCATCAGCAGCAAATGAAGAAGGGCCTTGCATGCTTGAGCAGAGAATGATAGGAACCTAGTCAAAGATTGTAAGTATGTGATTTAACTTATGCTCTAAAGAGATAGTTTAGGCTACTTTGGTTGCCTTAATGTACAGCAAACTGCAGGGAGACATCTTTCTGGGAGCAGAGAGCTCTTTTAGGAGACTATTACAGAGATGAGTATGATTTGGGCTGGATTTTACAAATTGGAATATATTTTGAAAAGTTAACTAACAGGGCTTATTGGTAGATTGGACATTGGGTTGGATAGTAAATAGTAAAAATAAAGCAGTTTAGCAATACAAGATCAGCTCTCGTATGTTCAACACAAGCAACTGAATGAATCGCGATGCCATTCACTGAGTTCTAGAAATGGAGGAGAAAACCAAAAGCTGTAAATCAGCTATGAGGTAGGCAGTTGGATATTTTAGCTGTATTTGTGGATGAGGCACAGGCTGGTAAATGCATGTGAAGTTTGTGGGAATGTACTAGGAAGTTCAGTGCCAGGAGGTAGGGGCACTTCAGTGCCTCCAAGTCTTGAGTTTAGATGCAAAGTCAACCAAAACAGGGGACCAAGTTCATTCCTGGATAACTCCAAGATTCAAAAGTCTGGAAATAGAGGGAAAAAGCAAAGTGTGAGATGGAAACAGCGGAGAGCCAGCTTCTGAGCATAGAAAGAGGAAATTGTGCCCCGGAGAGAAGAGTGGTTGAGTTTCAGGCTGTGCTTAAAATGTTCAATGATGACAGACCAACAGTATGATAAGCACAGCGTTGTTTTGCAATTACTACACTATAGCAATACTCTTCATGCCAGGGTGCCCACTGCTCCACTGAGGCTATTCTGGCAACTGTCAAAGTGTGCCAAGAAAGGCAGGGCATGGTGGCACATCCTTGTAATGCCAGGACTCTAGAGGTTAAGGGAGTATTTTTGTGATTTTCAGCCCAGCCTGGACTACATAGTGAGTTCAAAGCAAGCCTGTGATACATGGCAAAATCATGCTTTAAAAATAAAGAAGTGTGCCAAACAGGCAATGACTCTCCCAAATTCTGCAAGGCTTGTCCTACATATAAACTGTGTATCTTTCTGATATAGTCAGCTTCCTAAAATGTATTAGAGTTCTGGCTCTCCATTGCATTATATGAGGTTCTCTAGCAAAGAGCAGAGAGAGGAGGAAAAAATAGGTGTCGAAGGGGATTTTGTGCTGTAGATTATACTATGTTCTTTGTTTAACTTCTTTTGACCCTTTTTGCTGTCCCATCAAGGTAATATTACTAATCTTCATGTACCAATTAAGAGTCTATGCTCAGAAAGGGTAAGCAAATTAGTCAAGGTCAAAACTTATTAGTAGCAAAACTAGCATAAATACCTATTGCTCTGACTTTTGGCCCATTTTATTTCTACAGCATTATATTATCTCCTTAATATACTTTTCTAATTTTTTTGCCTGGAAGTGAAAGAGATAAAATCTTTTGTTTATTAGCTATACAATGTGAGATTGTGTTTTGTTTTGTTTTTCTTATCTAAATTATGGCTCAGAAGGCATTCATTTCCTTGGTATAGGGTTTTTGGGACTTAGATAATTTGGTGAGTGAGTTATATAAAAATATACCTAGATTAGAATAGGGTTGAGTCTCAATTTAATTATTTCACTAAAACATAGAAAAATTGTGGAGCTGTCACTGTAAAGTGAATGCTTTCCTACTTCAATGCAATTCCTTGCCTTATACCAGAGCATTTTGACAGGAGCAGGTTTATTAGTAATTAACTTCAAATTTTAACAAAGTCGTAGTGTTCTAAGGGAAATTGTTAATGTGAAAACTGAAGTTTGTCTCAAGAAACTCCAAAAGATACTTCATAATAATTTCTTATGAAACAAAAATTGGAAGTCTCTCAAAAGAACTGTGAAATGAGATTTCCTTTGGCAATAAAGTGAGTGCCAAATGGTGTCAAAGATTATACAACACTGCAATCCTGATGCTAGTGAAATAATAATATCATAGTAAGAATGTGGAACTCAGGAGCAAGTTAATTAAATTAAATTCATTTATGTAACTGAAACACAGACCAAAATGAAGCCAAGATGTCATCTAAGAAAGTTTCTAAATTGAATGATTTCAATTTAGAAATCATCTTGGAAAGAATAAGGGCAATTTTTCAGGAATGGCAAAGTGGTGGGAACTCAGGAGGAAGAAATAAAAGGCTGGAGATAAACTGGAAATAGCCTTTGACTACAGGGCATGCCCAGCTCTGCAAGGGAAAGAATATGTCTGTTTTTCTTACTGCCTCATGGGCCTGCAGTAGGAATTCAATAATTGCTTTTTTGGATGAATTAGACAGGAGAGTACCTCTTTTGAGCAAATATGGACTGTATCTGAGAATAAATCCGATTCATGAAGGAACACAGGGCCTTTTCAACCTGACAGAAAGAAGTGACTAAGTATGACTTTAGATCTTTGATCCATTTTGAATTTAGTTTAGTGTATGGTGATAGAATGTATCTAGTTTTAGTCTTTGGCATGTGGAAAATCAGTTTTTCCAACATCATTTATTAAAGAGGCCATTTTTCTTCCAGTAAATGTGTCTGGTTCCTTTGTCAAAGATAAGGTGGCTGAGTGTGTTGGGAGGTGCATCTGCATTTTCTAGTCTGTGTCACTGATCCCCAGGTCTGTTTTTTACCAATACCATGCTGATTTTATCACAGTAGCTTTATTGTATAATTTTAGCTCAGGGATTGTGATGCCCCCGGACTTGCCCTTGTTGACCAAAATTGCTTTCACTATTATAGGTCTCTTCTGGTTTCAAACGAGTTTTAGGAACATTTTCTCTAGTTCTGTGAGATATTTTAATGGTGTTACAATCAGGATTGCATTACATCTGTTTAACAA